GTTAAAAATAGTGTATCTATGGTAGGTTGTCGAAAAGGATCGGTTTTGGACGTAAAAATCCAAATTAACGAGAACAAAGGTCTCGCTGGAGCGTGATTGATTCGATCGTTCCACCGTCACCGAGTGTTTAAGCCGCAAAATCCATCCCGGAGTTTGAGGTTGCGATTTTTCTCCTTTTTTTTTCAAACAGCCAAATATGTGGAGGTTTTACAACGTCACCAGTTTCTCTTCTCTTCTCGGCGAATGCATTGAATTTTTTACACCCATATAATCACACGTAACAATCCATTTAATTCGATAACGACTGTGAAATCGGTTGCGGTTAACTTCAATTATTCGCTAACGATTTAATCCCCCGTTGATTTCACCTAACTGGTGCGCAATTATGTTTTTATTTAAATTCAGTAGAAGCGCACAATAGTGATAAGAACAATAGAAAGGTAATGGACGAAATATAAAAAATAAGTCGGTCTGTTTTAAGGGTAGACTCTGATAACGACGCGATAAGGCAGAATGTATTACTCACTAAATTGACCAAAAATATAGATTCGCCATTCGATTCTGTCTTTATTTCTTAGGTCAAGACAAATTTCGTTTTAGTGTTTAGTTTGGGATACATTCTAGGGTGCTCTAGTCATAATTCTTTTTCTTCTTGTTTTATAAAAAAATTCTTATTAGTTCTCATAAGTTTATTAAAATCTATAATGTGGAATTTGAATATTAATTAAGGCGAAAATTTTACTCTAACTTTTACTTTAATTCCACGAAGTGCAATTGTATTATTACGATTGTTAATGTAATATTTCTATCAGTTTATTTCTATTTGAGAAGCGAGTCTTAATTATACCGTCTTGTATTTCACTCGAATTCAGGGAAGTTAAGTTAATTACTGCAGTTTCTCGAGAATATCGCATGTTTATCCGTCGTCGGTCGAAAATCAACGTCGTTTTTCGTTCCAGCAGTAAGACAACATCAAGTGTGCTAATGATTTGTTTTTAATAATTGATTTACAGTCTTTAGTATATGTATAGTATATTAATATACAATGAAGAGAAAATCACACAATTTCGTATAAAATCTGTATGTGCTATTGTAGATCAAAAATCTAGTAGGTAGTATGTATTATGTGAAGTAATAATGAATAACATTTTCGTTCTTGTAATGTTAAATACATTTTTCAAAGTTATCTTAATCTTGATTAATATTATAAATCGTGAAAAGTAAATGTCCCAGTTTCTATTTAGAGGCTTATTTTTCCATAATTTTAAGATGACATAAAATTAAGATTCAAGATAACATAAAATTAAAGAAAAATACGCCAGTGAGTAGAAACTGAATCATTTATCTTTTACGTATCAGTATTTTGAAAATGTGATTATAGATGCAAATCCGCGGAAACGTTTGCACGAAAGTTTGTACAGAAACTTGTGCTTCATGCATGAACGCAATTGATATTGGTGGAAACACGTAGATAGGAATTAAGCTTGTCTCCACGGTATGATTGTCTTCGCTTGCTGCCAATACGTAAGACAGATTTTATTTCTGTCACCGTGTTAACATGTGTGGAAATCCTCCAACAGTTATACAGAACTTTCGTCGAATGCAAAATGCATTCTCGTTCCTAACATTCGATTCTTCTTATTGCAACAACAATTCGAAATGGAACCAGTAGTTTTTTATATTTTTAAATCAAAATTAGATACAGATAAGAATTCAAGCTAGAGTTGAATGAAAAAATATCGGGGAGCAATGCAAGGTTAATCTATAATTCGGATTAAATTCTTTCGACCTAATAACGAATGTAATTTGCCAATACAATCTCGTAGCAAAATATAGCAAATAATTAAAATGTAACACTGTTGTGGGTCCGCGGGAAATACGGCGGGATCCAGTTCCTTCCGGTTGTAAGTCACAGCCGGCGGCAACTGCGGATAAAAGAGAATTGGCTTAATTACGGTTGCGGCGTGCCATTTGCAAACGGCGGCGCGCGCGTGCATTTTGATAGCCGTGCTTCGCAGCTCGTTTCTTCATTGGAGTGTACGAAAACGGGCGGTGAGGGAACACCTTTCTAGAAATTTATGTACACGTGTTATGTGCCTTTAGCTGCGCCGTTCACGACCATTACTAGTTCACGTCGCTACTTCCGTGGCAAACATTAATCCTTTTATATACATATATACCTGTGTACGTTGCACAAAAAATTGTTTCGACGAAGTAAACTTCAACATAAATTAGATCTCGGTTCGTATGTAATAATTGCATTCCTCTTCAACCGTGAAATTGTATGTAATGGCATGAGCTTAATGCGTAAAATTGTGTTGCAATGAAGTTACGAGATATTCATTTTTAATTTACAAAGTAATTTAAAAAATAAATAATAGTAAGTAGTAGTAAGATGTAAAAAGTATTAGGCAGTTTCGTATAGAATGTACTGCACGGAACAAGATGACAAGGTTATTAAGGATGTATAGGCTATATACTTCAAAAATGCTAATATGTTGAATTTGTTATTATAGATTCCTATCACTATTAAAGAGCTACCTGCAAAATTTTAAATCAATTCATGGGTTGTTTGAAAAAAAATTTGATTTAAAATTTGCATGTACTTTTATGATAATTAGCAGTAACCCAAAGAAAACTTTCTGGTATTTGGTGTGCATATGCCAAGTTGGAAGAAACAACTGACTTGAGGAAATACAAGCCTAAAAAGTCTGGAATTTTTCACGCTTTTTAG